TTTCCTTCTATTTGAGCAACCTCTCTGAACAGAAATTTGCAAATTGGCACTTGTAGGGTTCTTGCACCCAGCCAGCAAAATTAGGATAAACTGAAGAAAAGAAAAACCTCAGTTCCACAGATTTCGGTTTAAGTCAAAATTTAATCGTCTAAGACTACCACTCAATCCACTCAAGAGAGAAAATTGATTATCTCATGCAGTAGAACGCCTTGGACAGTGTCATTAAAATAAAACACGGGGGGGAAGTTGTCATATTTATACAGATGATTGCCTTGGACAGGAGCAGGTTCCCTTGTATAAACAATTATACTGTATACGGTTTTAACCCATAAATTAGTTTTAACACTGTAAGTGTAATATGCTATTTTTAGAAGTGGGACCTCAGAATTTATGGTGTATCTCCGTTAGAACTGTAAGTGGTGCTAACCTTTGAAAACCCAAGTTCTAGAACACTCAATTGGAAATCTGAACCAGAGCCAACAACACCATAGCCCAGTGTGATACCCAAAGAGCTTACAGCACTCGAGGGCCCAATGTTGAAGCGAAGGCCTCAATCATTTTACCAGTAAATACTCAGTAACTTGCAAATACAATCAAAATTGTCTAAGACGGCCACTTCTTGTTGAGGATAAAAGTTGGTGTCTACGACAGGGTCCAAAACAGACAGCGGATTTTCATCATATTCAAGAAAAAGAACTAAAAATTATATCTAGCTAATAAAATTACCGATAAAATCAAACAAAGACAATCTGGGGGACAGTTTATAGACAAAAAGCTTTAATTCTTCTCTGCAGGGTTTATAATAAACAAGATAAAAAACAATTAGCCTTAGAGTATGAAGCAACACAGAGACAAACAATGTGTGTGTGTGTGTGTGTGAGTGTGTGTGTGTGATAGGAAAATTAATTACACACACCACAACACACTTTCTCAGCTCCCCGAAAGAAGCAGGCTGGCCAACTTCTTCCAAACCCACTCAGGGACACCCAATGTTTTAACATCAGATTATATGACAATAAACAAAATTACATCAAGTGGGAATGGTTTTGGTGATGTGTATCTGATAAGGTTCTCAAATTCCTGACTTCCGAATCCGGAACAGTCTTGGGAAATTGGGACAGTTGGCAAACCTGGAGAAGAAAGAACAAAAAACTTCTTGCCCCTCACAGTCACACAAGCAAAAAGATAGCTGGAACACACCTTTTAGATAAAATTATCAACGGCAACAAACCCCTGATTATTTGTTACGTCAAGTATCAAAACTAAGTCAAAGTGCACCAAAAAAAACGAGCAATGAACAGACGTCGCACAGGAAAATTATGCTGTGCCTGAGAAAAAAACACATGATAGTGTGTCCCATAGCTACACCCCCCCCCCCCTTTTACAAATAAAAAACCCCCACTACAAATCAAATCAAATCAAAATAAAAGCAAAGACAGAAACACAGTAGCATACCAGCCGGTACAATGTAAGAAGAAATATTGCGAAAACATGATCTTTGTAACTTATTTTTGTGGTGGGATAAGGTGTACATACTTGGCACAATTTCTACTGTGTTTATATGCCATTTGTATCGTGACACGGTGGAATCAGGCGCTCGTCAATTTTTTGACATACAGAGTTATTGATATAACCTTAAAGCTTGTTTATTTGTCTTTCTTTCGGTGAAAAAAATACCCATTTATCTTGAATAGAGATATTTGTGATTGAAGGAGGTGGGGGTTGCCTGGATTCAGAGGTAACATTGGCGAGATAATGGCTGCCAAAGTTCGGCAACTTCCAAAGCTTGAGATCGAGTCCTTAGAAACTGCAAATTTACATTTTTTGTCACTTAAATCAACATTTTTCAGTGAAATACACACAGAAATGTGTTTTTAAAAGGACCTTAAAGGTGTTGAGTTAAAAAATGAATATTCGATACCAATTGCCAAACGGACAGAAAAATGCCAGTTACTCCGATTTCATTATTTTGATGAGCGCCTGATTTCACCCAAATGCTTCACATTTAATGAAGGGAGAAAGCAAAGTGGCAGATAGATATTATGGTAGATGAAAAAGAAGAAAACTGGACCTTTCATAAAAAAACCCACAAATCACTCAACTCTGAAATGATGGCAAGAGTGAATTAAATCAGCAGTGACGGTGTTGCGATTCCCCCGACCAGCAGGCTAATAATAATATGCTGGAACAAGATGCATGATCACAGTAAATAATGCCAGCTTGCTATAATCATTGGCACAAAGCAAGGCTATAATGAAAACAGTAGTAATAAAACAGTGAAGCATCAGTTTACAATAAGACACTTCATAAATATTCATAAAATGCTGGTGTAAGCAAACTTTTAAAAAATCAATTCATAGATAAAACCAAAGTTTTCTGAATATACATATATATTTTTTTTTTTACATAACAAAACAGCTATGAATTATTTGAGGTTATTCACTGAACCAGTATGTTCCTTTTCCCTATAACTAAATGCAATATCAGTTCATGCCCATGCATCAAAGGACTTGGGAACTAAAGTTGTTTCAGAGCCTTCTTTCAGCCTTCTGTGTCAGTCAGTGTTTGGGCACTTACGACACGTCAAGTCTTGCCTCAATGTGTCAGCTCTAAAGATAAAGATCATTCAAAACAAGTTTGACTGTCGAGTAGTACTTTCCTAAAACTGCATTCCTTTCTGGGAATTCCCAGCTCATAACTCAGTTTCTGTAACGAAAATCATTTCCAGGAAATCCAGCTCTAGAACCTTTGCATCATGCCCTTCTACTGACTAAAGTAAGACAACCTTATTTGAATTTTAAAAATTTAAACAGTCAGAGGTAAGACTTACACACTTCTCGATCCCCAGCAAAATAAATATGTGAGGCAGCGTGGTGGAATCAGGCTCTCGACAATTTTTGGGCATGTAGAGTTATTGGTATCATCTTAAAGCTTGCCCATAGATGTCTTTATTTTGATGAAAAAAAATCCATTTATCTTGAATATAAGTCGAGATATTTGCGAAAGAAGGAGGTGGAGGTCACCTGTTTTCAGAGGTAAAATTAGTGAGAAGATGGCCATCCAAGATCAGTTATTTTCTTAGCTTACGAGACAGTGGTAACTGAAAATTTACATTTTTTGTGCCTTTAATCAACATTTTTCAGAAAAATTTCCACAGAAATGAGTTTTTTAATAGGCATAAAAAGGTGTTGAGCCAAACAACAAAAATTTGATAAAAATTAATAAAACTGTTGAAAAATGAAAGTTTCTTCACTTTGATTATTTTGATGAGAGTGAGAGCCTGATTCCATCACGCTGCCTCACACATATGGAATGCATCTCACAATGACAGTAAACTCTACAGTGCTTTGCAGAACATGCGACTGAATCATTGAAATATCAGTTAAACATACACATTCATACGAAAATGAAAGTAAAGCTCTTTAATAGATAGTGTAAAAACATTGGAAATTTCAAGCAAGAAATCATCATCACATAATAACAAGAAAAATAAACATTCTTGATCACGACTATTTCAATCACAGAAACTCCAGTAACAATGGCAGTATATGGTACTTGTCATGCCTGCCAATGAAAATCATTACATTAATTACAAGTAAATTGGGAGGAAATTTTTCAAAATACGGTGGAAGTCTGCTTAAACTGAAAACAGTTGATCTAAGTACTGTGGTCAACTGAAAGAAAATAATATCTCCAATTTTTTCTTCTGCTTTTGTCTTTGAAGGAAAACTATTGATTAGCCCAAATGTTCCCATTTCCAAACTGAAAAGAATTTCAGGCATAATGTTGACATAATCTTCACTAGCAACCTTCAAGTAATGGGAATAATCAAGTCATAATATGTACTTCAAGATAGTGAAACAAAAGAAAAAAGACACAAGACTGCACATTTGTAGGTCAGAAAGAGGCATAGCCAGTGTACTGTTTGTTTAAGTGTATCACACACATCAACAGGCCTACACATTGTGTACAGATAGGACTAGTGAAGCAAGGATGGCGAATGTACATCTGTCGTGCAACCCATGGTATGTCATGGATATTGTGTTTGCAAAGCTATGTCGCATAGGCTATACACATGGTGTGTTTATAGCATCACTGGCATAGGGCTTTCATTCTCTCTTCTCTATGTACTTTTTCATCTGTTCTGTATGACTGTGTGGCAGGTTAAGCTAAATGACAATGTTGAAGAGAAAGCACAATGCGTACAGCCTGCTGCTCAAATTACAGTACAGTGGAATCCTGTTATAACGAGAGGGATGGGACCGGTGCCAAATGTCCGTTATAGCAAGATTCTCGTTATAAGGGATCCAGTAATAAATTCAAGGGAAATAGTAAAGTAGGCCTAATCTATGAGTCTGGTTTTCGGTTTATTTCTTATTGTAATCTCCCCTGATGATGATTTGTTTCAACATGACCTTTAAATCTTACTTGAACAAAAGTCGAATCAGGTTTTTTTCTAAATGCTAGCGATATTGACAGCTCAGCGTTGGCGATCAGAAAGAAAGTTCTCTTGGCTAACTCGCCCACTGTGTTCTCCCCCACCCCACCCCACCCTGTGGTGCGTTCCGTCTGCTTGCGCAAAATGGGAACAAACCACACCCCGTCCACATCACACATTTGCTCCGTCCATCACAGTACAGCACTATGACCTCTCCATCCCCGCATCGGAAAAGTGAGAGGCATGGTAGGCCTAGATAATCTAGACTAGGCTGGCCTATCACACGATGCGTTCTGCTTGTCTGTGCATGCCACACTCTCCCCACCCATTCAACCCGGCCTTCATTGTTGGCACTCGTGGGCTCTCCCCTTCTTTGTTTCGCAAGATAACCAACAAGTTTCTCAACTGGTGAGGTTTTACATATGAATAAATGGCCTGTGCGCTGTACACAGCAGCAGCAATATTCCGTTATAACCAGCTCGCGTGTTTGTCTGATTGCGTTATATTAGTATTTTATTTACAAAGATAAAGAAGGGCAAAAAACGAGGTTTTAGAAAAGTGTCTTTATAACAGACTTCTCGTTATTCAGGACTCGTTATAAGTGGATTCCACTGTAACTGAAAGAGGTAGATAAGAAAAAAAACTTTCAAAGTGAAATTTCGTGGCTAAATCGAAGAAAATCCAGTGGTTCCAAAGATTTCAGTTTGAGCAGACTGCAAATAATCACAAAAAAAGACATTAACTTCTGTGATTAAGGTAGCTTGGGTCAAATATGACAACGCCTGATGATGCAATGTAGAAAACTGCAGTTACCAGAACAACCAACCCTAGATTTTATAAACAATGATATTCTCACGTTTCACATCACACTTCATGTTTTATATCTTCATTACCACAAACATTTTATTCCAAAAGAAATTCTCCTGAACAATGCTGCAGTTCCTCCACTATCCATATATCTAAGCAATATGTCCACATGGCACTGTAGGAATATACCGTACTGAAAATCTTTGTAAAATGAACTGAATTCTGCAGGTGTTCAATTAACAGAAATACAGTCAAACCTGCTCTAATGGCCACCTGTCCCCGACAATCCCCTGAATAAACGACAACGTCATTCCCCTTGTGGTTTTTTTCTACATTATAATGATATTGTATAAGACGTCCACCTGTTTAGGACAACCACTTTTCTCCCCACTAACGGATGGCCATCTTGGACAAGTTCAACCGTATCTAAATGAAAGAATCTGAGGCCTGGAGGCACTGGGAGGAAAAGGCTTGAAGTTAAATATCTGTTGTCTCAAGTTCATCAAGATCAAAATCTAAAGTCTGGTCACTGTCCTTGGGCATATCTATGCCCAAATTACGACGATGTCTCTGCACTGCCTGAACGCGTGAGTCACTTTCCATAGCTTGTTCATCTTCACTGAGGTCAGCACCGGGGCTCCTCTGTATCTGTTTTTCTTCCCCTTCAAAAGCAGAGTTGAGATAATAGAGGGCCTTTGGGAGGTTAGACATGTCACCTTCTGTCGGATCTTGCCCATAGATGTTGAGAGTGATCTCTTGCTCATCATACCCAACACTCTTCTTCCTTTCCTCAGGAGCATTAATCTCATTCTCATCCAAGGAGTTCTGTGATGAATGGCTGTGGACAGTGAGAAGTTGACAACTGAATACGTACCATCAAGTGAGGAGTAGATCTAGGCTATAAATTAAGAGAGAAGTGAGGTAGTGTGTTCTTCAGCGTAGGACGTCTATATAATTGTACATGCCAATCAAGCTGTGTAGCATGTTAGTTTTCATTTTAGTAAACGTTTTACGGCATGAGCAACACAATTGGGTCAAATAAGTGCCGAAGATTAGGTGTTACAAGAGGGTAATAACCATAAAAAAGAAGGAGGAGAGATAAGGACGACAAATGTTTGATATGAAAGAAAGAGCAAACCACACCTGAGCACCTGCCAACTACCCATATGTACACAAGTTTTCGCCACCAACAAAATAAATATGCCTACCCATTGCTGGTAAAACATCTTATACTGTTAAGGTTCTGGAGCTGACAACATTTCAAAAAGCATAAAAAAAAAAAGTTTTAGTAAGTTTTACAGCACTTGCAACACAATGCAGTCCTATAAATGCTAAAGATTAGAGGTGTTACTAGAGAGTAATAGACAAAAAAAGAAGGAAGAGAGATCAGGACGATAGATGTATGATAGGAAAGAAGGAGCAAACCACACCAGAGCACACGCCAACCTCTTGCTTTCAAATAGAAATGAATAATGCTATATTTGAAAGCAAAATCCACTTCAAAACCAGTCAAATAGGGCAGTTGATCAGACTTAACTTTGGATCGATAGCAACAACATCAGACTTAACTCTTGATATTTAAAAAAAAAGTAAGAAGAGAGAAATAACATAAGAGTTTTTTTACGATCAATGACAACAACGTTGACCACTTACAAAGGCCAAGATTCGAGTAATGTGATAGGGTTTAACAAAAATAGAAAAGTCTCATGATTTACTATGTACCTTGATGCATCACTGTGAGGATAATCATACATGGAGTCACCAAGGGTCAGATCATCTCGCATGAACACAGGATTTGCCCTAGAAGACATTAAAAGGGAAAACTGTAAAATCATTTCAATTAAGAGCAAAGTACAAACAAATCTACAATGGTGAAAGCTTGTTTTAAGTGGACTAGTGCAGTCATTCAATGCCCCTCTTTCATATATGGCACCTTCTTTTAAGTGAAATAGCTCAGTCATTTGTGAAAACAACCAAATTGCAGCAGCTGAGCAGCACAGGTTCACCAAGGAGAACAGATCTCCAGCTGCCACCACCATTCCCTCTCTGCATTGCGACAGAACTTTCATAGCGCAGACTGGCCTAACCAGTCATCTGCACTTTCTTCCCTGACTTCAAGATGACTAGATGGTCTTGTTGCCTCATCAACAAACAACAACAACAACGATAGCAGTGCAGTCATTCGATGCCCCTCTCGGCTTGTGTCAAGTGGAATATCTTCAATTCAATGTTCAATTATTTAATTCCCACCTGTCAGGAACTATCTTGGATAGAACCTGGACAAGTGAACAATGCAGTGAAATTCTTTTTCACACTTGAAATTTCAAAACCCCCAAAACAAATTATTTTTTTTACAGGGGCTTGGAGATCTGAAGCAAATCCAGCTCTAAATCCAAGAGAATAATAGACAAAACCCTTAGTTAGCATTCAGGCACCATAGCCTCTTCATTGTTGTGTAAACAAACACATACTCGCTTCTCTTCTCCAAAACCGGTTCTCAATTTTGTCTACTGGTTTACAGGGGAAATATAAGGAGATGTAATTATGACTGTGGAGTTGTTTTGTTCTCAAATAAGGGGAACGATTTTGTTTAAATCTCTCTAAAATGAACTTTTTATATTATTTCGATGGCTGGATACAACACTGCGACAAGTGCCAAATTGCAATTTTACAAGAGAGACAAAAAACTGTCTCCTTTTTAAAATTTTGACAATAACAACAAGAGATTCAGATATGTTAATGCAGCCGTAACGTGGTTGGATATGCTGCCAATGTCATTTTGTTTCACAGTTAAATTGCCGAGAAAATAAAGGAAGATTGCACAAGTCGCAATTTTGCTCTATGCAACATTGCGACAAGAGCCCATGTCGAAATATTACTCTAAAATCGGAGCATACTTTTGCTACAAAAGTCCTTGTGGCATTGTTGCCCCAAATTAAAAGTAGAATAAGGTTTCTCTATTCTGTTGAAGCAAAGAGGTTTATCGCTTTGTTGCACGTAACTTAACCGAGATCAGTGCTTTTATGTGTGATATGTATCCAATTTGGGTCTGAGTGTTATTGGTTTCGATTCCCTATAAAAAAAATTGATTCTCAAAGTCTGGAATTTGCTATTTTTGCGACTGACCTCGCCCGACCTCGCCCGGAATCGGCACATTGAGGTTTGCAACTCAATAGATAAGACAGGTATGGTTTTGGCTCATAGTGACTGATTTGGGCCTTCCAGCTGTATAAATAACTTTGATTAGGAGGAGACTGGTAGTAGTTGTTGAGTTCATAGCACACTTCCAAATGTAGGGTCAAGTTCTCATGCGTTTAAAGCCTCAGGGCACTAATCAGAACACATGAGTCATCATCAAGTAAACAGCCCCAAAATGGATAGGCCCGACATGTTGCTTCTTTACATATTCAATGAAATATTTGCTTCAAAACTGAAATTAACAAGAATGATGGTGCTGCTTTACGATAAATTATTAATATATTTTTAAAAAACAGGATATTTTTTATTCAGTATCAAGGTTTAATTAAATTTTCAAACAGTGTCTTACCTGAAACAAATCAATAGACCCAAACAATATGGAGCGACGAAATGACCAACGTATGAATAAACGAATGCAAATGCATAATCAAATGACGGAGTGAGTGAGTGAGTGAGCGAGTGAGTGAGTAGGTGAGTGAGTGAGTGAGTGAATGAATGAATGAAAGAATAAATTAATCCATGAAAGAATAAATGAATGATTCAACATGCAGTCTTTACTCAAACAAAAGAGTGACTTATATTGGAATCAAGGAAATCAAGACAAAACGACAAAATCATGTTCCATCAATTCTGGCTCTATGTGCAAATGTAATTCATTAAGACACTGGCCATGCTTCTCAAAGTATAAAATTAAGATTGATAGTTTGGTCATGTACAGCATCAAGTTAAGTTGTGAACAAAGCATTGGCAAACGCTAATAACGACATGAATGGAAGTAAAACTTTTTCATCGTTGAAGATGTGGTGAATCATGGTTCTCAAATTAGAACATTTACACTAATTAGTTTCATGATGTAAAACATCACGATAAGTGGGGAACAAAATAAAAATGATCGGCAAACGCCTATAACGATATGAATGGAAATGAAACAGCGTTAATTATGTGGTGAGACATGCGCTCCGGCTTTCCAGAGGTTTAGCAGGTGCTGGAGCTCTCAAAGTTCTTCTTCAATATCTCCTCCAACAGGCAGGGAAGAGTAAAAGTCATAGTAGGTCGAAGGTACTTGCTGAGATTCAAATAGACTGATCAGATCTCGTTTCTTCAACTCAGGGATGCCTGGCTTCAGAAGGCCTTTTATCAACGGCACATTGCACACACCCACAACATCCCCACTGACCCTTTTCCGCCTGTTCAAATTGAAGCGTTGCGTTGGACCATCGTATTGTGTTTTCAAGTGAAGGGCCCCGGGGTTTTCTCCTGAGCATATGACTTGTCTCACCTTGCTCCATGGAATCTTCTCTCTTTAACTTGAAGTCTATAAAGCCCTGTCTGCACATCTCCCCTGTCTGCACATCTCCCTCACCTGGTATGGTTGTTTGGACATTCTGGCCGTTCTCACCGCAGTGAACCACTGGTCTGGGGTGTAAATCTCTATGTGCCTAGTTTTTCGTTGATTGTGGCATGCACAGAGTCATTTTCTGTCTCTGTATGACCTTTTTCTAGAAAGGTATGAGTGATCAAATTGGGTTGTAGCTTCGAGCGGGCAAAGTTGAGGGCAAAGGCCACAAAGCTGTTCCGGTTTTGTCCCGCACAATTGTCAGAAAATGAATGCACATCTTTCACCCCACCTGAGCTTTGGTTTGAAAGGCAGTGGAACAAATATGGCCACTTCGTTTGAGCCATGGCAACTTTCACTTTCAGTCCACATGTAACAGAATACGTCTCCTTTTCTAAGGTCGCAGACTGTGAGATTGTACACGCCTAATCTTCGTTCATAGAAGAAACAGGAGCTCTGTCCATGGGGGCACAGGAGTTCTTGTTGTAGATCAAAAGCACAGCTTGTTTTTGTTGGTCTAGTGGTTTTTTTCGCTGCGTCTTTGATAGTCCTTGCGGTTTCTTTGTTTGTTATGTGGCTTTCAAAGAGCTGCTGGTTTTCTTCTGCAGTATCCTTGTTGTTTTTGTGCGCGATACAAACTTCACATTGGTCTTTCTTGGGCCTATGAAAGCCAAGGTTGAAGTCATAGTCGAAGACTCTTCGATATTTGTCCTCGTTGACTTTTTCCTCTCCATGTCTCTCGCAGAAGAGTCGGTACATGGCCGTCACCGACAAAAACGGGTCCAAGTATTTTTTCACGGTCATCTTGACAGTAGTGTGAGTCCACAACCTGAAATGAGAAAATGTGATCTCTTTCTCCTTGGACCGAGTTTTCGTCTATCTTCCGATGCTGGCCGTGCTTTCCCTGATTCTGTGGTTTGAGGGCACCAGTTGCTGTAACTCGTTTGAACGTCCTATATAAATCTGATCACACATAATGTTTAGCGCATTCTGGGAAAAGGTCCTGCACGCTTGCACCCTTGACTCTTTTCCTGAGGCGCCAATACGTTTACGACTTACTGGTCGTTCCTCAACATGTCTGAGTAAGAAATGTTGCTGCTCTCTTTTGTCAGCCAAGTTCAAAAATTCTTCAATCACGGTCGTCCTTTCATCCTCGCTGATACTTTTTGAGCAATTCAGTTGGCACGAAGGGGGACAGCTGGGTTTCATTGTTCTGCCTGAGATAATTTGCCCCTTACTGAGACGTACGCCAGTTCAGAATATCTCAGTTGCCCTAATCTCTTTTCCGTGTTCTGGCCCTCACTTGGGTTTGTTCATCTCCTGTTCCGTCACCATCTTGTACCTCTTCTTCAGTTTGCTTTTCACCTCATGACATGTCCTTCCTCATCCCCAACACTATCCTGTATCTTCCTTCTACCTCCTTCAACCTGCTCAAGTGTTGCCTGGCTACTATCTCTCATTGGCTCTTCCCCTCCACGGTGTCCGTTGCCTGCTTTTTGCCCAGCCACAATTTCTTTGCCATGTACATTGTGATCTCCTTTGCACTGAATGTATTCATTACAAAACAACTACAACATCAAAATGAGAAACTCACAATCAAATACTGATCTTCAGTACAATTTATGTTTAAGAATGCCTGCAAAAAGTTATCTGACACGAACAACAGCTGGCATTTGGAATGTGTACAGGAATATGATGCAAAGAAACAGAGAATTTATGCCCTTCAACAATACACTATGCTGCAACACAGTATCCTGTGGGGGAGGAGGGAGGGGTATTATAACCATTGACAATGCTCAGTAACTTGCAGAATCACGAGTTGAGACAAAAGAGTCTAACCAATTATCGTTTTGTAAGTGGTGTGGCTAAAACAAAAAAAACTTCGGCAGTGCAAAATTACGATAAGTCAGTGTATTTGTTTTTGGAAATTACAGACAAGAGATAGCAATAATCTCGGGGCAACAAAGCGACATGTGCTCTTGTTCAGTCTTCATGGACAAACCAAAGCAAAATTCTCGGGGCACAACCGCGTCAAGTGCCCTTGTGGCAGTATGGGTCCAAGATATTTATGGAATACACCTTGTTGCACAATTGCAACTCTATTCATGGTTGGAATTTGATATTTTGACCCACTATTTTGGTATCGATACTAACGGGAAAAAAAAACGATTTTCGGGATTTTGGCGCTTGTCGCAGTGCTGCACCCAGCCAGTGATCTGTACAAATGTAGATGGAAACATCTCACAAAAGAAGGGGTTAAGGGTAGACTTGACCAAGACCAGGGAAACTAAACAAAAGCATCGATGACATAGAAGAGCAATTTACAGACAAAGAGAAATTTACACTTTACCCTCTATCTAATATATTATGATCAGGTTTGGCCAACAACAGGAGACTCAGTGGAGAAAATTAAGGTTCTGCCCTGATACCTCGAAATGAAAACAGCTAAGAGTGACATGCCATTTGTACAAGTTCATGTGATACAGATTGCTCAGAGTGCAAAAGCAAGTTTCTTGGGTGAAAGGAATGAACCATCAGCATTTACACAATTTAGGTAGAACACGAGGATTATAAGTCAACCTGAAAGGCCGGTAAGAGAGCTGATAGCTAGTTACAGAAAGGAAAACATAAGACAAACTTACTCTCTTAGGTGATCATTGTCCAGGCCTGGGAATCTATCTTGTTTTACTGGCTCAAGGGCTGAAACAGAAATATTCAAGTAAAGTCTTCTTTTTCATCTCAAATGGGTAACTTTTTCAAGATCACAACGAAAACTTAAGCCTCACTATGAATCCTTAAGACCCTCAAGTACTGGCAGTAAATGAACAGCTTCAATTCAATATGTTTATTTATGCAAAAGCCAAAATTATACACAGGCTATAGTCCTAATAATTTAAAAAAATCCATTCTTCATATGATTATACATCAGATCACACTATCAAGGACCACAACACTAATCACACACATGTTCTGTATTCTTTCATTGTTTTTCTACAAAACACTGCAATCTTCTTCTCTGCCCTTTTTAAAATCAGTACAAATCTACATAAGGTCTCCTTTCTCATACTTTTCCCCCAGACAACCATCCCTCTCTTTCAGAAACCTCAGCCATTCTTCTAGACAACAAAACTCATCCTCAGCTTTCCCACATTCAGTACATTTTCTGTATTTCAAACACTTTCAAAAGTTTCCCCATCGCCCTCTTATAATAATTTTCAGACATTTAAAAACTTGTACAAAGATGTACAAAGTTCATTAGGCTAACTATTACAGAACAAGCTTACCATGAACCTCTATTGTTGCAGCTTTCAGTTTGTGCTTGAACCTGAGTGGAAACAAGAGAAGATAAACAAGCCAAAGATTCACTGCATGATGATCAGAGTATTCTTCCGCAAAAAACTTTAACCATGCATTCTTTAACACCTATCGGACTACGGACAAGAATACTGGCGAAACCTGACCGCTTCCCATAGACGAGTTTGCGAGCAAAATGACTTAAACGAAAGTCAATCAAAACGCCTCTTCAAACATATCCATATTTTCGTTAATCACTGATAAGTTCCATTTAGATATTTTGCTTCTGATTCTTGCAATTGGAATGTGGATAGTGACAAAATGAGTTCTAAAAGGTATTTCACTGAACCTGAACTGCTCGACAAAATTTGTATGGACGCAGACAGTGATGAAAAGATAGAAGACTCAGACAATGACCCTGATTATTCATACAGTGAGTCTTCAGATTGAAAAGTAAGTAATGTAGATTTGGAACCAGTCATCATCAATTGAGGAGCAGTTTACTCAATACGTAGGTCTGAATCTAATCTTTTATCTGTTACGACCAGAATCTGGACCAAAACTTACAATTACCATACATATTGATTGCACCTAAATGACCCAAACCAAAATATTTTTTTGAGGAGAAAGTGATATAGCATAGACAAATATATTTTAAATTGTTTGGTGAAGTTTTATGTCAATTACTTTACTAGGGCTGAGCTATTCATATGGCAAATAGTCAAAAAGCAGGCGGTGGCTGTTGTCCTGGGGAACTGAAAGTCAAGCGAGAGGTGGGTCCCATAGGGGTTAACAAAACTTTGTCACTTCATGTCTTTTCCTAGCCTTTTATATTGTTAAGAAAAAAAGTCAATAACATCAGACAGACAGAACATAAAAGATGATAGTTAAAGCACTATTCGCGTAAGCCTTATAAGTATAGACACTCTCCAAGCACAAAGCAAGAACAATCTTTTCTGTGAAATCAAAGCGTAGCCCATATCACATAAGAATAAGAAAGTCAGTACAGTCGGTCAAGGATAATAAAAACACATTGGGGATAGACAAATGTGTTGGACATCCATAATTCAGGTAAACCATATAGCGATAAGTTAGAGAGCTATCACTTGGAGAATGGTAAATTGTAGGAGCTATCTGTAAATTTGAGTTTTCTGTGTTTGTGCTATCTGTGCTCATCTGCATATTGATTTCATTTGCTTGGACTGATTCTGTACAAGAAAATCGACAACAGTGCGCTACACCCACACGCAGCCAGTTTGTAAACTGTTTTGGTAAGAAAAACACTTTACATTTTTAAACCACCATATTATGTAAATTATTTCTTCAACTGAAATTTCAAATCTCTAAAAACAGACAAACCGATACATACCTTCGAATGTTATGGATCATGAAATACAAAGTGATGACAAAAGTGATGGCGATGGCAGCAATGACAGCAATCAGGATGTACTCTGTTCTCTTGTCATTTGAAGTTACTTCAAAAGTATCTTTCCCAACCTATACCAAAAAAAAAAAAAAAAAAAAAAATACAAAATATATATATATTTATATACATTAAATAAACAAAGAAAGAAACAAAAAATTAACCAAAACATTTAGAAGTCAAAAGCAAACTGAAAGATAATTTTTATAATGGAAAATAAGATCTTTGTATAAAGCATGTTACAACCCCCATAATGAAATTATGTCTAACCTTTGTTTCAAGAAATTTGTACTGGTCTTGCAACTTCAGTTTCAGTTTTATATCCATTCTGTCCAGTTCCCTGTAAGAAACAAAAGTAAGAATGAGCATCAGAAACCACAAAAATTATGACAACAAAATAGGACAAAAAATATAGGACTCTCAATAGCAACCAATGATAGTGAAGATGTACTTAGAACAGGACTAAGCTCATTTTGGTTTGGAATCAGTTCCATTATAAACACAGATAGAACTTGCACCAAAGAGCCACCCTTCACTCTACATCAAAAGACGTGGCTGAGAATAAAATTTGTGTAGAAGTATGAGAAATAATTGAAAACCCACTGAGCCTTGAACCTGCTCCTTCCTCATATAAGCTAAGTCTTTGACCAAATCAGATCACAATGAGTATCACAACTACACGAACTGTACATACAAAGCAGGTCAAAAGCACATTGTGTTTCCAAACATAATTACACACCCAATCAGAGTCGAACCATCAACAATGTTTCCATCTTTGTCAACAGCATGGACGACAAGGACTGACCTGAAAGTATTTGAAGAATAGAATTTTCTTTTTTTAAAAACAACACAAAATCAAAACTTTTCATAGCACAAGGACCCTTAAGCATATTTAATAATGATAGAATATTTGTGAGGCAGCGTGGTGGAATCAGGCTCTCGTCAATTTTGGGGCATGTAGAGTTATTGGTATCATCTTAAAGCTTGTTCACCTGTCTTTATTGGGATGAAAAAAATATCCATTTGTCTTGAATACAAGTCGAGATATTTGCAAAAGAAGGTGGTGGGGGTCATCTGTTTTCAGAGGTAAAATTAATGAGAAAATGGCCGCCAAAGATTGTTATTTCCTTAGCTTAAGAGTCTGTGGTAACAGGAAAATTTACATTTTTTGTGCCTTTAATCAACGTTTTTTAGAAAAATCCACACAGAAATGAGTACTTTAATGGGCATGAAAGGTGTTGAGCATAAAAACAAAAATTCACAAACCTGGGGGAAAATGCAAGTTTCTTCACTTTGACTAATTTGACGAAAGCCTGATTCCATTACGCCTCACATTTCATCTCCTTACAACACGGACATTTCAAACATATCTACCTGAAGTCCTAAGCACTAGCTTCATGTTGGGCATTAATAAAAAATATCAACTGTTCACCCCCATAGTGGAGAACTGGTAACTTAGAGTAAAAAGAACATGCTGCTACAATACAATTAAATTGTACGCCATATTTGTCCTTAGTGTAAGTATTGACATACTCAAATAATATGGCTGTCTAGAGTAGAAAGGTCTCTTTTTGTACCCTTAGTGGTTCTAAACAGGGCAGAGGAAAGACACCCTAGGGGAAGGTGATGTAAAAGGGGGCAGAAAAAGGTGTGCATGTATGTGTGCGTTTGAGTATGAGTGTTTGTGTGTGTGTGTGCGTGCGTGTGTGTAGGTGAGTAAATAGCATGACAGTATTCTTGACTTAGATCAAAATCCAGTTCAGTGGTTTTTGGTGCTAAATCTGAAATACTTGTAAGTCGTACTTACAGTTGAAATTGTTAGTCCACCAAGACTTTAACAGATTATTACAATCCTTCTTTGCCATTAGTAACTGGCAATAGGCTAATAACATCTAAAGCAAAAAGGTCAACATTAACCTCTGGTAAAAACGTATGTATTCAAAATTTTTGCAAATATAACCTGCCCCCCCCCCCCCCCCCACACACACACACACTCTTTGTTACACGACGATTTTGATATATTTCTTATTAAGACTGGTACAGACTATGAGACTGCCACAGCATCCAAGTTCTTCCCAAAGCCTTCAGTCAAGCAAACCTCCTAGAAGTTCTGTGTGCAAAGAAAATCTTACTAATGTACAATGCTTGACAAGTTAGCTAGGACTTGTCTAGCAAGAATAAAATGTCACAGAAACAGTCCCACTCTCACTGGACATCCCGCTTTTTTCACCACTGATGAGATGGCAAAAAGCCAAACCGCTACACCATATAGCCACTAGTTTGAATGAAATACAATGTGGCCCTCTCAAGCCAAAAACGGTTAATTTGAAAAAAGCGGTAAATAAAAAAAAATTAAAAAATCTTCCATTTTGGGTTTTTTTGAGTGTCTTTGAAACCTCTCTAAACTGAAAACCCGGCTAAACCGAAGAAAATTCGGCAGTTGAGCAGATTTCAGGGTAAGCAGCCTCCACTATACTTAAATTTTGGTAGCCAAATTCTGAGCATGCTACACACACATCTTTCAAACTTTTAAAAATTGATCCACCACGGTGAACTTACAGGTCAAATCTGGCCCCCGGGCCGTAGTTTGGTAACCCCTGCTCTACCAACTGCTTACAGAGAATGAGACAACTCCAAAAAACAAAACAAAACAAATAAAAACAAAACAAAAACAAAAACAATCTCACTTGGATCCATCCACACTACGGTCCTGATTATACTTGGGTTGAATGTTATCTGGCACAAATTCGTAACCAAGTTGATCAAATTCTCTGAAATAGATGAGAAAAATTGCTCATTAGCTATAATATGAAGTAAACAAAAAAGTGACAAGTTTTAACCCTTTATCTTAAAAGAAAACATTCACCCCAGGTCTTGCTTTTAAGTTATTAAACAACATTAGAAGCAATATTCTACAAGTTGCACTTGCCAAGAGTACAGTCATTAATAAAGTACACCTGTCTGAAAAAAATAAATGTGCACTTGTCGACACAGTGATATCATGTGCTTGTCAGTTTCTGGGCATGTGGAGTTATTGATCTGAATGTTTGTTCATTTGTCTTGCTTTTGATGAAAAAAAATACCCATCTAATATAAATAGAAGTAGTTATTATATTTGCTGTTGAAGGAGGTAAGGGTCACATGCTGTCAGTGTCAGATGTAAAATAAGCAAGAAGATAGCCTCCAAAGTTTGCTGGCTTCCAAAGCTGTAGTGTCCTTGGAAACTTCAAACTTACATTTTTTTGGGTGCCTTTGAACAATGTTTGTTTGTAAAATCTATGCCGCAAAGTGCTTTGTTTGTTTAAGAAGAGGTTTTACAGCGCTCGCAACTGCATAAGGTCATATGAGCGCCAGAAGATTAGAGGTGTTACAAGAGAGTAAGAAACATAAAAAAGAAGAAGGGGAGATAACGACAATAGATGTTTGATTGGAAAGAAGAAGCAGACCACACCAGAGCACCCGCCAACCGCAAAGTGCTTTAAAGTGAACATAAAATAGTTACGCCAAAAACAAGCACAGACCTGCCGCTCAATGGAATCCACAAACCAGGATCTCAGGGGGAAAAAAATTGGGATTTGGTGAAAAAAATGAGGATCAACGACATATCACCAAGGTGACTGCAAAGCTTACTTTAAAAATTTCCAGGGTTGTCCATAAATATTACCCATGTATATGCCCTCTGTGTGTGTGAGCATGTGTGGGATCATTTTCTTTTTTTATCCTGAAGTATCACATCAAGGACTCATAGTCAAAGTCTACCCCCCCCCCCCCACTCCGTAAGTCTCGAAAGACACTTCGACAAGTGTGCATGCACTTAGGTTGACCCCGTCAACAGACGGTCCTCGACACGCCCATCTCACACGCTGAAGTCACGTGATGTGAACACAGAAATGAAACAGTTTTACAGACAAGTCTTGATGACGGGCCCGACTAACCAGAGCTTGGACAAAGATCGTTTTGAAATCAACAGCTGAACTATTAATAATATTGATCATTTGTATAATGTAGCAATTGAAACAGTTATCAAGCCATCATCGGACAATTCTGAGTGGTAACAAAAGCGAAACTAGATCTTGAGAATGTCCCAAGTCGAAATGCCAGATCGATACTACTTCAAATATAGTTGAAATAGCACGTGCACGCAAAGATCCAACACAACTTGGGGTGAGTCAACTACTAAATCTGGCATCGAATTTCGAAAAACAGGGCTCCGAGTTCCTGCGAACAAAAAGTTTAAAGGGTGCTTCCCTCGACAGAGAAGAAGGCAGAGTAGGTTTTTTAAAAAATCCAAAGCAACAGGCGGCACAAAAAAATCGGGATACAGGTTATCGAAATCGGGAAAATCGGGATGCTTGAGATTTAAGGCAAAAAATTGGGATATCCCGATTAAATCGGGATGAGTGGCAGGTCTGCAAACATAAAAATAAAAATTTCAAAACAAGTGGAAAAATGTCAATTTCTTTGATGTCATTGTATTTACCAGGGCCTGACTTCACCACAATGACACACATACAGACATGAACAAAACTTAAGCTTGAAGTATTTCTTAATTCCTTGATTATTACAGTGACTGAATAAATCTTAAAAAGTACATGTCAACTTTAGGTCACGCAGCAGATTAAATCATTATATCGACTGTGAAAGTCGCAAACTGTTCAAGTCTTGAAACACTAGTTTTTAGAAAAACACAAAAAAACTGTATAAATGTTATTTTTCTCTACGTATTATTGTATTTTCGATTCTGACAATAATAGGATGTTACCTTTGAATAATTACGTAATTTTAAAGGCTGAATTTTGTTTAGATTCTATAAAATCAGACTTACACATTTTGCAGTATCAAAATTGACAGCAACGTACACGGTTAGGGAGATACACAGATTAACTAAGTCTTTCCCTAGAGTAAAATTGAGAGTTACATAAGTTGCACTAATGTTAATGTTTAAAAAAGTTGATTAAATGAATAACTTCAATTGATGTTCCAAGATTTTGTCAATAACCAATGTAGAAATATAAGAAATAATTTTCTATTTTGGGAGAGGATGTGACTACGTTATGGAGGTTTAGTATCTAGTCACTCTCCTAGGATGATGGGGGTCCAAGGTTTGAATCTTTGACATCTGGGTCGTACTATTGAGTCACACATCGAAGAAAAAAAAGGTAGGGCCTACTTATAAAGTACTGATATAGACTATAGTATAACCACGCTCATTTACAATGGCATTTTACTCCTCTGGCCGACAACAGCACAGTACACATTGAACAAGACCAACAGTCTGACTGCGTTAAAAAAAATTCTAGCTCATTCAGGAACTTACCTACACTCCTACACCCATGAAACTTTGCATGGCACTTCTGTGGGCCAGCGACCAAACAACATTTTTTTTCTCAAAAAATCATGATCCAGTGATAAAAAAAAGTTTTTCTCTTTGGGCGCTATATTAAAAACCGCTCTTTGGAGGCATACACAGAATCACTAAAATAAATTTTAATAACTTACAGTAACCTTGCCTACAGATAGATCATTTTGAGACAACGACACCACCCTACCTTCACATTTCAGTGTAAGCTTGTAGATTGCATCTCCCGGCTGTCTCGAAAATTACTCACCCCTCTCTTAAATTGTGTTTCTTAGGCGAACGTTAAGGTGTGGTGTTGAGGAAAATGTGTCAACTCATAAATGTTTTAGGTTTCTGCTGTAAATCCCCTATTATCTTTTTTAGCCTCTTTAAGCTTACACCAAAGAAAATGTGTCGGAACCTTAGTTTGCAGCACCCTTTAAGAATGGGCTTTTAGATTCTGTTGATCGCTTAACTTTTAGACCGGAAATGCAAAGACCTAGAAAGATTAAACAAAGTGATTTGTTTTTATCCCGTTTTAACCGCAGTCAGACGAAAATGAACGAATTTAAACAGAGAGCTAATGGATTACGGACACCTCCCCCCAAAAAATACAAAAGAAGTTAAAAGCGTCTTTTGCGCACGAGGTCCCAGGGTGAGTAGAGACATGGCATGTACGAATTACGTCAAGTGAGTTCCGAAATCTTTATCGAGTATCTCGATCTTTATGCTGGAATGTTGTATCCCTCTAAGCTCGGGTTGGCCCGGACTGGCAGGGCTGGAAGCCCGTTTACTAAATAATTCAGAATTTTAAAACAATTTTTTGAACAAAAGTTGGAATATTTAACTCTTCACTTAATAAAAAGATAAAGTTGGTATCCACTAAATGCTACCATTTCAATGCGGTAAAGCATCATACAATGCATGAAAATCAAACAGAACAACATGCTTCATGGATGGTCGTATATCTTCTTTTTTTTTTTGGTAAGTATTTTACGGCGTTTGCAACTGCATTAGGTCATTTGAGCGCGTGTGACACATTAAACATTTTCAGTTCGTAGGAAATTTTGAATTTTGCCCGGGTGGCGGCCGAAGCCTACTTTTTTTTATCGATTTTAGACCACCAGGGGATCTTTAAGGTGTGCAATATGCACAGAGGACCTCCAAGATTATTCTTCCTTGTTCGAGAAGACTAGGAGAAGATCTTTCCTACCATAAGACCAGGGGTGTGGCTGAAAGACAGCAGTAAGAAGAAGCCAAGGAGAAGCAGTAGAGAGGCTGCAGAAAGAGTCAGGAGCCCAGAGGAGGGGGCGAAGGAGGTGAGGGGGTGGGGACAGAAAGAGGAGACAGAAGCTGACGACAGAACATTGCTAGAGAGCAGGAAAGGAGGTGAAAGAAGACAATTTTAGAGAACACATTTTTTTCGGTCGCTACCTGAGGTTAGAACCCGGGACCTTTGAATGAGAGGTGAACACCTTAACCTCTTGGCCACGAGAGTCCCCAATCCCCTTTTTAATCTTTAGACGGGCTGCATTTAGTTGTTTGGGATTTTCGATTTCACCACAGCTCCTCTTTCTTTGTTGGATTTTGCCACGTCTTGGCAGAGGCAAAGGTGTACAGTCATTTGTGAGCTCCAGTTTATAAAGGATGGTTTCACAAGGACGATATTGCAATGCTCGAAGAATCTTTTTCTAAATACTTCTGTTCAATGGTTCTGTCGTGTGTCATCATTAAGTGTCCCAAAATGGTTGCCATGACTTCCAGTCTAGTTTCATCAATGCAGCCATCTCTAAATATTACGCCTATGCATTAAAAAAAAATTTTTGTATAAAGGAAGGTTACCAAGCTAGATAAAACGTGTTAATGTACTCCTTCAGACTCGTTCCAGACGTAACACTTGATAACATGGGTGTGGGGGTTAAAGACGCTGAAGTTGTGGACTTGGGAGTTTCGTTTTGTCCAGCATGGACGGCTGAGTATTGTTCAACAGACTTACACGGTATGCACTGTCAATATTGAGATTCAGTAGGGATACACGGGTTGCTCATGTGACGATTACACGTTTTCCCACTGGTTATTGTATCCCTAAATCAAAACAGAACATGCTTTGTCGTTCCAAGATGATAAATATAGAAAAAAAAATTATGTTACTATTTTTAGACTTACACGGTTTGTGACTTTCACCGTCCATATGTGAGGCATCGTAGTGAAATCAGGTGCTCGTCAAAATAATGAAATTGAAGAAAAAGGTATTTTTCCACCAGTTGGGCAATTTTTTATGTTCATATATATATGTAAACACATTTCCATGTGAATTTTAATGAAAAACGTTTAAATGTAATTTTCAGTTTTCAAGGGCTCTTAAGTTATTGAAGATACTAAACTTTAGCGGCCATTTTCTCCTTAATTTTACCACTGAAACCAGTCTAGCCTACCTCCTTCAATTGCAAATATCTTGACTTCTATTCAAGTTAGATGGATATTTTTTCCATTGAAAGCAAGGCAAATGAAAAAGCTTTCAGACGATATCGATAACTCCACATGCCCAAAAACTGACAAGCGCCTGATTCCACCATGTCGTGACACATATATATTATGTTGTAAGTTGTAATATTTCATAATAAAAGTCCATTTTCACTTTTTGTGTCAAACAGATAACTATATTACAGTGGAATCCTGTTATAACGAGAGGGAGAGGACCGGAGCAAAATGTCAGCTATAGCAGGATTCTCGCTATAAGGGATCAAGTAATAAATTCAAGGGAAACTGTAAAGTAGGCCTAATCTATGAGTTTGTGGTTCTGTTTATTTCCTTTTGCTATCTCCACTGATGATGATTTTGTTTCAACCTGACCTCTAGGTCTTACTTGATCAAAAATCGAATCAGGTTTCTTTCTCTAGCGCTAGATCTAGCGATGTTGACAGATAGCTCTGCGTTGGCGATCAGAAAGAAAGGGCTTTGGGCTAACTCACCCGCTGTTTTTCCCCACCCCACCACACCCTGAGGTGCATTCCGTCAGCTTGAGCACGTCACACATTCGCTCCATCGATCACATTGCTGTGACCTCTCCAGCCCCGCATCGGAGAAGTGAGAGGCATGGCAGGCCTTGATAATCTAAACTAGGCTTACCCTGGCCTATCACGTGATGCGTTCTGCTTTGACTGCGCATGCCACACACCCCCTACTCAGTCGCTCCGGCCTTCATAGTTGATCCACGTGGGCTCCCCCATTCTTTGTTCCGCTAGACCACCAATTAGTTTCTCAACTGGCGAGGTTTTACATGATGTATAATTGGCATATGCAATGTACACAGCAGCAGCAATATTCCGCTATAACCAACTCGCGTGTTTGTCTGATAGCGCAATAGCAGTATTTTATTTACAAAGGTAAAGAAGAGAAAAAAACGGGGTTTTAGAATGATGTCTTTATAACAGACTTCTCGTTTCTTCCGGACTCGTCATAAATGGACTCCACTGTATTATGAAAGGATATCTGTTTCAACCGATCATTTTGTATTGTATCAATCCAGCAGTGACAACTGCATCAGTCACAATACCAAGTACTGGATGAAGATTGTAGAGGAAAAGTCAATATACTGACTTTGTAAGGGGAAACTGTATCCGCCTGAGTTGCTCTTCACTTTGGAAGAAAGTCATTCGTACAGCTTGAGAATCACCAACAACATATATCTGTCGGAAAATACAAAGAAAATTGATAAAAGTGTGATCAGAGTGCAGGTGTAGATTTGAATTTAAGCTACCGGTAAACTGAAAATAAATACTACCATATCACTTTAAATACATTTTTAGACAACTAAGGGGTGTTATCAAGCATTTTTCTTTGCTTTGGGTGTTCCATTGTTGAGTTTTTTTCTAGAATTATATCAAAAGAAATTCAAAATAGAACTCCATGCTTGGCAAGATAGGGACATGTCAGCTACAAACCTAGCATGTAGTCTCTACGTACACAGTCAAAAATGAGCAGGAAGACCTGAGACTTGCCTGCACCTGACTTAGAAGGAATAGTAATAAAATTGTTTTTTTATATGGTGTCTTTTCCATACTCCTTGACAGAATTGGTAGGAAGGAAGCAAACTGATTTCAAATTTGTATATTTTACGGGAGTTCCTTTTACATCATCTTTAGTTAAGTCCAATGTGCATGCACATAGCAAACATGCACAAAATGAACAGATTTTCAGGTCCTGAAATTTGTCTCATCCATGTATTTCTTATTCAAAACAAGCATACAGCAGAATTGGTACGTACATAATGAAAAGATTTATGAGTCCGGACGATTTTACTAAGTATGTGCTGGATTGTACTTTTATTTTCATATTGGTTAGGACGATGCCTTGTTTATCGCAAATGCCTCTTGTCCCACTTCAATTGCACAGAAAAAAAGACTGTCCTCAATTATAATTTCCTGAAATTAAAAGAAAAAAGTTTAAAAAAAATGTTATTCCTTTAATTAAGCAACAACAATTTTTTTTAAAGGAATAAAAAAGGTCAATGTCTGTAGCCTGTGTGAGACAAACCTCTAGCAGTGCTCACCTTGACCGGAATGGTGTCATTTCCAGCATGATCACTGACTGTTACTATCAATGTGAATGCCCCGGAGGCATCATCATTGAACTTTACATTGGTGGTGATGGACCCATTGCTGGACAGGAGCACAGGGTCAGGTTTCTGTTTGTCGACCCAACTCTTAGACAGAGACTCATCCAGTTCCAGATCACCCACTTTATGAAACTGATGGACTCTATACTTAGCAGTATCCTTGTCCTCCACAAAGTCCTAAAATGATGGAAGGGGAAACAATGACATAACACAAAGAGGATTGTACAGATTTGTTTAAAAAGACATATATATACAGTCTAGCATAAATTACACAAACATGGAAAACTCGAAATCATGGAGAGCTCGTACAATTTGTCATCCCCTGACTGATATCTCTTTAATTTTTCATTACCGGACAACCCAAATTACGGATGTATAGAACACATTTGTCAATTCCTGACGCGTTTGAGTTATTCGTGTCCAACTGTGCCACATGTTGAAGCAGGAAAGCAGCATCTAATATTGTGAAATAAGCATCACCAGACTTGAAAATGAAGAAACAAACACAAGGAGACCGGATTTCAGTTGCTTTCTGGGGACTAAAGCTGGCTGGATACCATTTAGCCAGTTAAAAAGGAAAATGAAAAGTCAATGAGCTCACAGTTGACAATTACATGAGCTTCCCACCTAAACGCGTGCCATACAAATGCACGCTCTACTCAAATGTATGCTTTCGTCATATGAAAGTCTTTTTACTACATAGTTTAGACATGCAAATGCACAGCCACTTCCTCTAATAGCACCCTTCAATCTGCGAATCATGCCAACAGGTAAAGCTTAAAAAAGGGAAATGTTCACTACAACCTGCACAACTTGCATAAGACAAGCCTAGACAACTGGATATTGGGTGAGACTGCCCCTCATTCAAAACTAAGAGAGTGATGGAGAGCGTTTTCACACCCAACTTTCCACAGACACATAGGTCTAGGACTAGTCAGGTGGTATGTTGGGGATGGGGGGACTGAAATGTCTTTTGATTGGTCATTCGAAATGCATCTTTCACTTTGAGAGGTTTCCGACTGGTGTTTGAATTATGATACTGCACACATAGTTTAGTTTAGTTAGACCTACGATGCGAAACTTGCGTGATAGCTGTAGAACACTAGATAGGCATCTATAAGATTAAGGATTAGTCAAGTAATCAGCTGCGCTCGAAGAACTTATAACGTACTTGTTCAACGAATCATGACAGAAAAGTCTCTTGGAATGTCTGATGCTGATGTCAACCGTGCATTTATCGAATTGCAATAGATGACAGGCTGTCGGGAGTGGTTGCTTGGAAAGCTTTTCCCTATAATATGACTATCACCAACAGTTCCCTCTTATCTGTTCCAGACATTTTTTACTGCATATCAGTACAATGAGTCCATTTTTCCGCTCCCCCTCCTCCCCACATTCAACTCATTTGTGTGTATATATATATACATATATATATATATATATATATATATATATATATATATATATATATATATATATATATATATATATATATGCACAGGTTCATGTAAACGCCCGCTCTGTATAAACACATGCTAAGGAGCTCTCTCGAGGATCGTGCGTTTAGGCGGAGACTACTGTACTACAAATTGCTGTAAAAGTTCCAACTACTTTAAGCTTTAAAAAAAAGTACTTCACCGTTATCAACGTGTGTGTGTGTGTGTGTGTGTGTGTGTGTGTGTGTGTGTGTGTGTGTGTGTGTGCGTGTGTGTGTGTGTGTGTGTGTGTGTGTGAAAGAGATAAATTATTTAAGGGAATGCTTATTTAGGCCACATATATGGCCTAAATAAGGTAAGGGAGGGGGGTTTAGCTTATTTAGGCCACACATGCTCAAACTACCGGGGGACACCCTTCTCTGGCAACTGAGTTCGTTCCACTTTCATAATGGTGCACCTTTCTCATTTAGTACAGTTTTGTCTCAGTGTACAACTTATAAATATCATAATGAATATTGTAAGAACAAAGCACGATACGCAAAATTTTGCTCAATCCCAGTGGTTTGAATGTGGGCCAGATTTTTCCTTCATGGAGGGACAAAATCTAGGCTACCATTTTGGCACACTTTGGTCAAGTGAAAAGGTCAAATCCTCCGAATGGACTTCTGGGTCAAATTTGGGGTATAAAAAGTGTGTACACAACGTGGCTGAGTCAAAGTTACACTATCTTTGCCTGGGTGGCACTCCCTCATTACTGTCTCGTAGTAGTACATCTCTCGTACTGTCTCATAGTAGTACATGTAGATCTAGTAGTAGTAGTAGTAGCAAAGATCGTGTAGAGAATCTTTGGTAGTAGATTCTATCTAGTAGGCAGTTTAGTGAACGTGCACGCGGCAGGGCGAATCGGCCTCGATAAGCCCCGTAGACCTTTGTGATCGGCCACGAAGCCTCGTATTTTGATGGGTCTAAACAACTTAGTGTTAATCGCTCTGCCACATCCGACAGGCCTATATCTTTTTAAAAGGAAAAGAAAGGTCATCAAAATGGTTGAATTTGCGTGAAAATCGATTCGGTAGAACTGGAACTATTAAAATTTGCTTCTGAAAACAAGTTACAAGGCCATTTTTATAACTCGATGAAATAAAAACTACTGGCTGTGTTATTCTGTATAAATTATGAAACTTCAGGACGTATTATTATTTTCCAACATCTTTTGACGCCTTAGCTGTAGAGGTTGAAGTTTTCACAACACTAATAGATCTAGTAATAGGGCTTTCAGTTTTAAAAATGCATAGATCTACAAAAGCTGAACCACCGAATCGACCGGTCAGCGACCCGGGCATCCCGCTCTCCCCTGCACACTGTGATAACATGTTGCTTCGGAATAATTATTCAACTATTAATACGTGCGGCTATGGCAATTGGGATGTACTAACTGACAAAGCGATTCACAGTTTGGCTTTTATTTTACCATATATTTGACTTTACTAGTGCAGGTGATAGCTAGATCTAGATTCCCTGTCTAGAATCAGTAGTAGCAGGCCTATGCTAGAAGCAGCCAGAGAGCATACAACTGCTAGATCTAGATCTAACTCATTGCTATGCCTTTGGGTTTTGGAATTGAAATAAAACGAATTGCACAGTTCTAGTTAATTTTAGATTCAGCAACTAACTGTATTTCCAGAGTTAATAATAACAAATCTCACCATAACAATTAGATCTACTTTTACTTTTATTTGAATAATTAGATCCAACTTTTTTTTTCTAAAATCTGTTTTGCACAAACTTAAGACTTTCTCTACTTGTAGAGTACAGAATTTACATTGTAAGCCTCTGCTCAGTCTTTTACTTTTAAGTATATCTTAATAAAATACGTATAGATCTAGATCTATATAAATATAATCATTTTATGTTATTTTCTGGATATTTTTAAAACTCTTTTATTTAACATGTCATAAAGTCAAATTGTGCCTTTTCTTTGATAAGAATAGCATTAGCAGTGGACTTTTTAGACAGTGAGTCTCTGATTCAATATATAAAAAAAAAATGCTAATCAATGAAAATTGCAAATTGATAATAGTATAGTCCTGTAGACTGTAGAGGATAGGTGGACTCCGCAGTTTGCATAGCGAAATACTAGATTTTAGGATGTGAACCCTGGAGTCACTGTAGTGAAATAAGGTTTGGTTTAAGTAAGGATTGGTGGACCCCGGGGTCAACGTAGTGATAAATAAGCAGGTTTAAGGTGGACCCCGGGGCCCGGGGTCTACCTAGCGAAATACTAGGTTTTTAGGACAGGTGGACCCCGGGGTCACCGTAGTGAAATAAGTAGACTTCTTTAAAGATCGGTGGACCCCGGGGTCACCGTAGTGAAATAAGTAGATTTCTTTAAAGATCGGTGGACCCCGGGGTCATCGTAGTGAAATAAGTAGGTTTTAATTTTAAAAGGATTGGTGGACCCCGGAGTCACCATAGCCGTAGAGGAATAAGAAGGTTTAATTAAGGATTGGTGGACCCCCGGGACACCATGATTAAACCTACTTATTTTACTACGATGACCGCATGGTCCACCTATTCTAAAACCTAACTAGTATTTCGTTAGGTAGACCCTGGGGTCCACCTTCAACCTACTTATTTCACTACGTTGACTCCAGGGTCCACCAATCCTTAAAATTAAACCTAGATCTGTACTATTTGACTACGTTGACCCCAGGGTCCACCAATCCTTAATTAAACCTAGATCTACTTATTTCACTACGCTGACTCCGGGGTTCACATCCTAAAACAGCATTTTGTTAGGTAGACCTTTTCGGGCTAGATAGACCCCTTGGTCCGCCTATCCACTTCCTTGATACATTTAATAACTGAAAAACATGCCAGTTGTCATGAATAGTGAAGAAAAATGTGAAAAAAAAGATAATGACTATAAGACTATAATTTGTCCAAAAAAATTGCAAGTGCAAGTGAAGATCATAAGATAATTTTGTTATTTTCTGGTCATCTTTTCACGGTTTATAAAATGTTCCAGTGGGCCTACTACTAGATCTATGTCTTTGAAGAACATTTTGCTTGACTTTATCAGCTTTTTTCATGTACTTGAAAGCATAGAATATAATAGTTTCACACAAATGTATGCACAATACCTTGAAAAAGAAAGATAAGGTCATTGCTGTTGTTGTTTTTTAACGGAATCCGTTTTACGTTGAGAAAAGCGCTAAAAACATGTTAACAATTTTTAAGAATGCCCATAATATTAGGAATCCAAAATTACTACCTTGATCTAGTTTGCTTACTGTAATAACCATGAGCTCTTAAGAAAAAAGGAGAATGATATAGGATTTGTCTAAATATGACCATTAGTATTAGCATTATAAAGATATTGGCTATTTTGTCCAATTATCCTTGCAGGTAAAATCACCCTGTACTGCACCTCAATAAGCACAAAAAGAATATTTCTGTGACTTTGTATAAAGGTGTTTTGTAGTTGAGTTCTATGTAAAATTCTCAACAAAATAATGTACATTTGGACCGTACAACTGAGATCGACACTCATGCACACAATAACATTCACAAATTACACACATACAAACACACTATTACATTTACTCTCTCTCTCTCTCACCACAACCACACACAAAACAAACACATACACACACACACTCACACACAGACACACAACTCTTACCCTTGGTCCACTTATCATGTAGTATCATCCTCTATTTTGAAATAATCCCCCGCACTAAATAAAAAGATCAGTAGAATCTCGACTTTCCGAATCCATGATTAGTTCAAGAAATCTACCATATGATGTGGCCTAAATAAGGTAAGGGAGGGGGGTTTAGCTTGGCCTAAATAAGGTCACCCATTATTTAATTTTGACACATGGCAAAATCAGCTATGCAGATGTTGTGCCGTGCCTTAACTCATTCGCTACGCCGAGCCGTGGGGGGCGGCACGGCTAAAGTGCCGTCAGTACACTAAGCCGCCCCTGGCGGCTCGAGAACCGATCTTCAATTTTAGCTTAGATTTTATTCCAATCCACATATATCCATGTTAAAATAAAGGTCATAATATAATGTTGACATCAGGGTCAAGCATTTCCACTGAAAATCGGAAATTTAGATTGAGGTTTGAAACGCGATTTCGTAGTTTATTTGACTTTGTGTTATCGCGATGCCAAAATTATAGCCCGGACACCAGTTTTAGTAATTTTACACAACATCTATCATTATTTTGCGCACTAAAGAAATGTAGGACTCTTTTTTTATAATATTAATACGATTGGACTCATATTACCAATGCACTGTTATTGAGAAATCAATACTTTTGAGTGCTAGATCTATAAGGTCTAGATCTAAATTGTCAAAATATTTTTTTCTCCCCAAAATCACTACTTTTTGATGAAATTACACAAAAAGTGCCTCTCAAGACATGTATAGGCTATTCCAAATGCAATTCTGAATAATTACATATAAGATACGAGTGTTTTTTTTCTGTTTGTGATCATTTTCAAGATTATAAAAAAATTATATATTTTTTTCAATATCGGATGTTATGTTCAAAATGTACAAATATTTTGGAATGTAGGTAAATGTAAATAACTGCAAACTTTTCAATATTTTCCAGTTCTATATATTCATTTATGGTTATTTTTATGTATCTTTTGACTAGGTGCAAACATATTTTTTGAGTTTCACCAAAGATTATTTATTTTTTATATTCAAATTTTATCCGCATCCAATCAAAACTGTGTTGCATAATCGTCTCTTACAGGAACCAAAGTTGAAAAATACATAAATAAACATTACAAACCATACTGAAAATATTGGTATATAATACGTTGACATTTATTTGAATTTGTGGCCCCAAAGACCTAGTCATCATCTCATTCACCCTCCCGAAAAAAAATTCGTCCACAAGCCGAAAATAATACGTAGCGAATGAGTTTTTAAAAATCTTTAGTTTTCTTACCGTCAAAGTAAATATAGTCTTGCCAAATTCCGTGCTGGACAAATAACCTTTTGTTAAATGGCGAAGGGAGAATACAGGGGGACTGTCATCAACATCCAACACTGTGATTTTTACTTCCACATTGTCTGAGTTCTTGATGTTTGAACTGAAGTCAGGGCACATGTCTTCTTCATGGGAGATATCCATGTCTTTAACTGTGACTGTCAGCATTACGTCAGGATGGGTTTCACGATCAAGAGGCTTCGACAAACAGATCTTTCCTGAATCCTTGTCAATCATAAAGTGATCTCGGTAGTCGTTTGGCCTCATATCTGATAAAAGACAGATTCCAGTCATTACAAACACTTACGTCATAAAAGCAAATTGCAGTAACCTATTAACTGTCACTACTACTGCTTTTTTACTCTTCATGTAGAAATTGGATACCAATAAGTGGAGCATAAACTGGTCACTGACTGAAAACCTGTCCTAGAGATGGTCTAATATTACAATTTCTTCTTTTCCTCTCCAGAACCTGGGATAATGTCCACCTTTAACCATCCCATAGGCCGTCCTAAAAGACTTTATTATTTGCCTGTTGTTGTTTTCCCCCTCCAGGCCAATGAAAGTGCAAGAGTTACGCAAAGACATTACAGAAGAAATTCTCTTACACTGACATTCGAAAGCATTTTTAAAGTGTTCAAAAACTTGTTGCCTCACACCAGGATCCTCTATAATAAGAGGGTTACAAAGCACCATCCATGCCTGTCAGTGCCTGAACACTCCATGCAAATGTACTTCTAGGAGGACCAGTTTCTACGGAACTACAGATCCATGGCAGGAACTTGCTCAGGTCAGACAATGAGCACTGCCTAGAGCGGCCATCATCCAACAAAAAAACATGTCTTGCGCAAGCAAAAAAAGGTCCAGTTGTAAACAATTAAAGATTTTTTAGAAGAAAAAAATAGCCATTCTATACAAATGAATATCAAAATACACTGAGACAATCAAACAGGTCGAAAAATTATGTCTTTCTGTTTAATGGGTACACGAACGCCAAACCTCTGACACATCCCAACCACTTTTCCTGTCTCATTCCTTTACCTGTAATGTCAAATTTAAAAATAATGTTTTAAAAAATTATTTAAAAACAGGAACAAAACCTCCCTTCCTCTTCTTCCTACTTGGTGTTGTATCATTCTGTTTAATTTTACAAAAATAATTTATTGCTTGTTTTCTTACTGTGCTATCGTAAGTTCTTGATTTTGAAATTAAATATGATTTTGTATAAGTAAGTGTTTTACGGTACTTGCAACATATTTATGTCATGTAAATGCCGAAGATTAGAAATGTTATAAGAGAGTAACAAACCCATCAAAAAAGAAAAAAGAAGGGGAGAGACAAAGACGATGGATGTTTGATAGGAAAGAAAGAGCAGACCACATCAGAGCACCTGCCAACCACCCACCATCTGTGTCTGATTGTGGTGAGGGCATCAAATCTCATAGAATCCATCTGATTACATTATATTTTCACTAGATCATTACCAAGCAAATCACCATTTCTGCTTTTCATGTAGTTACCAGTAAAAATCCTAAGAAGTTTAGTAATATTCCAGTCCGAGACAGTTTAGAAAAAAAGACTTTCAGTATTTATTTTTCTTCATTTTGGGGAGACATAATCCTAGGATAGAAAGGTTGCCCACTACACTAGTAAGCTGTTGCAAACAAACGTGTGGAAGCTATTTCAAAGCTTTGTTTACTGAGTCTATCACAAGGAGACATTTTTCCTCTATTAGGTTGCTCTTAAATTTCTTTCAATTTTTTTTTTCAAATAATAAATTAGTCAATAAACGCACTATAAGACGCAACAAAATATGAAACCCTCACCGCAAACAGACACTAACATTTCTGTTATTCTCCTGACAGAATCCCTCTGATAACTTCATATTTTCACCCAATCAGTGCCATGCAGACAAATTACTGCTTCTACTTTTCATACGGCTACCAGTAATAACCCCTGTAACCACAAGTAAGATGTTTGGTAACTTTTTAGTTGAGGCAAAAGCTCTTCCAACCAACCCTCCGTGAGCATGTTGAATAAACAGCCTTTCCCTCTGATATTCTCTTTGAACAACCATCTCAAGCTATGTACCTAATTTTTCAAACAACAATCCAGTATAGTGACAGTCATAACACAATTCATTCCCTGAGTCACTTTTCGTTGCTTTGAAAAAACTCACAAAAAAAGTGATTACCTCTGTCAATCTTATAACATGAGCAAAAATGAAGATGTCTCAATAATTGAACATTAAGTACATGAAACTAAAACTTACCATACTGGGGGTACGATAAAAGTAACACATTTAGCACTTATTAGACCTATTTGTGTTGCTAGTGCCATAAAACTTTTACTGAACAAATAACAAACTTTATCCCCATACCAGTAACTACAAACTTGAAGAAAAAAACAAATTAAGACAATGCATTATGACTCACTATATGGGTGTAGCTGCAAAAACAGTTCACATGGGCCAAAACATGAAAATTGAGATTATTACAAATTATTATTCTACAACTTTCCTTGAGCATTTTGTCTTTAATTTGAATCTTTTATCTATCAAAGTTACCGTGATAAGACAGTTTTTATCACCCAAGGTAGGAAAACTCCAAACTGAAAAAAAAAATGGCTTTTAAGTTTGCTCAACGGTTTTGACCGATGTCAGTTGAACAAAAGGGACAAAACACAATGTATGCAAGTACAGTACAGTGACCACAAGAACATAGTGTTGGACAAAATACATGTTTTCCTAACTTTGCAGCTGGTGTTGATGTGTTTATATCTTCACTATACTGATGTTACGTTGTTTAGTGTCTCGATATTCTTCCACTGGGACTGGCCACTCTGATAGTGAGCGGGCTCTGGTCATGGGTCAGGGTTCTGAGGCCTTTCTTGCAAATAACTGCACTTTAATTCAATATCAGGACAACTTATTGCATCTAAACAAGTTTCCAAAGACTGGTTGAGATCAAGCGTATATTTTTAGTAAGAACTGTGGTAACTGTGAATGAACATTGGTGCCTAAAGTGGGCACTTGATTTTCTTCACAAACACCAACAGTGGTGCACTAATCTAGATTCGCATTTCAAAGTATGCGCACTACTTTTTATTTGATTTTACACAGTCAGGGTTTTTCAACTATGTAAAAATACTTGTTGGGTTGTCTCAAAATACTTCTGAGATACGACTGTCAAAAAGAGATCAATTTTCATAGTCCCCTCCGGCACTGTCAGCCATTTTTGGTTACTATATTGGCTGGGGGGTGATGTTGAGAACAAGCAAAATTAACATATTTCCAGCTCAAAGTATTGTTTAATATTTACAGGGGTGAAAGTAATTATGCTGAAGTACAAGTTTATGCAAAATTTCAATTTCCATAGATAGCTCAAAATGCCCTTTGAGACGATCTAGTTTCTTGCAAATAGGTACACTTTAATTCGATATCAGGACAATTTATAGCATCTAAACAATTTTCCAATGACTGGTTAAGACCAACGTGTTTCCGTAAGTCACAAAACGGAAGAATCAGGCGCTATTCAATTTTTGAGCTTGTGGAGTTACTGGCATTATCCTAAAACTTGTTCATTCGTCTTGTTTCAATGGGAAAAAACCCCCAGTCTATCTTGAATAGAAGACGAGATAATTCTGACTGAAAGAGGTGAGGGTTCCCAGGTGTCAGAGGTAAAATTAGAGAGAAAACAGGCGACAAAGTTTGCTGACTCCCATAGTTTGAGAGTCATTGGAAACGGAAAATTTCCGTTTTTGTGTGCCTTTAATCAAAGTTTTTAAGTTTGATTAAAAACACAGAAATGTATTTTAAATGGACATTAAAGGCGTTGAACCAAAGAAAAGAAGCCCAAAGAGAAATTTTTTAAATAAAAATTGACAAACCGTCGGAAAAAGGCAAATTTCTTTGATTTCATTATAATTTTGACGAGCGCCCGATTTTACCACAACGCCACACGTATGGATGTCAAATCATGGACCCAAATTTCATAACAGCTTTTCTTTGTTGTGACTGTACCTAAGTAGTGAAAGTAAAGAGGTACAGAAAGGCCAAACATAAAGTTATAAAACCCAATCAAGAGGAAGAAATGAAATTCCTAGACCTGTTATGTTGTATATGAGACGAGCACTCTGATCCCTGTCTTGCGCTTGCACTCTTCCAACATACTTGGTCACATTGTTCTCTTCCACTTCAAAAGTGGTCTTCAAGTCTGCAGGAAACTTTGGAGGGTTGTCATTGACATCACTCACTTCAATGTCCAGTGTTTTGGTGGATGCAGAGCGAGAGCTCGGTTTGCCCAGATCATAGGCAACCACTTTTATCTGTGGAGGATACATAATGCTAACATTCAGATTATCAATAAAACAGCCGGGCACAGATAGCATGAACATGAAAAACTAAAAAATCACAGAAAATGCTATTTCTTGACGGATGTCCTTTTAATCCATAATAATGATAATAATAATAAATGACATTTATATAGCGCTCACCCCCGATTAAAGTACACAGGCTCTGAGCGTTTTACCATACAGTACAACGTACAACAGTAACATAAAACGTTGTGTTCTGACTAAAGAAAATTACTCCAAATATTCATCTAATTAATTTAAAAACAGAAACGACTTCAGCTGACATTTGAATATATCAAAAGATTTGATCTCTTAAAGTACTTGGTAAACCATTCCAGATCTTGGGGCCTTGGTATTCAAATGCCCTTTCACCCATTGTTTCAAGTTTTATAGATGGTAAAATAAATTTCTTTTTGTCAGCTGAAGACCTTAAACTGCTAATTGGAATGTAGTCTTAACAGATTTGATACATATGAAGTTGCATTATCATTCAAACATTTGTTACATAGGGTGGCCAACTTGTACACAATCCTTTTCTCAACAGGAAGCCAATGCAAAGTTCGTAAAAAGAGGTTTAACAGAGTCTCGCTTTCGTGCAGCATTGTTTTGGACAGTTTGAAGTCTTTTAACTTTCTCCAGTGATATTCCTGATAACAAGGAGTTACAATAATCAAGTTTTGATAAAAAAAAATTAAGCTAGTTACTAGTAAAGCAGTATACTTAGTATTTTACTTATTTCTAAATACATGCTGCTGATCAGATGATTTACCTCAGCCGACTCTGACAAACTGGAATCAAAATAGATGCCAAGATTCTTAACTTTTCTTGAAAATGCAATTTTCGCATCACCAATTATCATGTGATCGTGGTCAACCTCTTTAACAGACACTATTGGTTAACCCGCAGGATGGATATGTTGAATACATTTATCAAACCCTGATCTGTTTGTGGAGCTATCCATGCCTGACTGTATCTTATTCATCTTCAGTTAGCAGTGCTAACTTGTACTATATGTGCAGCCATAGGTGACACCGTACCATATTTTTACCTTGTAAGAACATGAGGTCGATCCATCAAGTTCACCTCATGCCACTATGCCGGGAATTATAAAAATTAAACGATGTGTTTGTAGCGCACTCAGAACTCAGTTACCAAAATACAGTCGAACCTGTGTAAGACGGCCACCCATTGTCAAGGAGAAAAATGGCCATATAAGACAGGTGGCCGTCTTAGGCAGGACTGATCAAGATGAAGAAAACAAACCCCATTCCTTTCTGAGGTCCCAACCAGAGGTAGTCGCATTGTTGTTGTTGTTGCTGTTGTTGTTGTTTTCGCTGGGTTTTATTATTTTTTAAAATTTTGTTGCCGCTTTTGTGCAAGGGTGACAATAAAATGAAGTATGTCAGACAAGGAGGACCGAGTGCTATGGCAAAACAAACACATTAGTTGCCACTGCTCAGAGAACGAGCTACGCTTCTGTCACATGTTCACGTTGACGTCCATTGTTACTTTGTTACAGACTGGGTCAACAGTGACCACTCCTCTCACTTACTATTTGAGTATGAGTCCTGGGTGGGGCTTACCGGTTATGAGCGAGACGTGTTGATAACAAGTCTCGGTTATGAGGGATCACACACTTCCCTTCCCTGCAGCTGAAAATGTGTTACCTTTGGTCTGCAGTGGGAGGGGCCTATGCAACATGATCGGTTGGAGGGACTGCCTAACAATAACAACAGGGGAATGGATTATGACGGCTTGCCGACAATGCCAGGAGCCAATGCATGATTTATGACAAAACGTAATCGAGTCACTAAGGTGGCCGTCTAAGACAGGTGTTGTTTGGTGTGATGTGGTTGAGTGTTAAAATAAGGTGGTCGCGGCAACGTTGGACAGGTGCCCGTTTTACACAGTTAAATTATATAGAAAAAAAGCAAGGGGGAAAATATAAAGTGGCCGTTTGTACAGGAGGCAGTCTTATAAAGGTGGCCGGCATAGAGGGTTCGACTGTAATTTAATTGTTTAATTAAACTCTATAGTACAAGTTAAATGTATTTTTATAAACGTCATACATTTTATTTTGGTGCTTGTTGTTTGTTGAGTAGGCTTATTGATAAATCGATAAATTTGCTGTCTTTGCGATTTATGTATCCAGTGTATCTTATTGAACGAAGTAGTTAATAATCCAGCCCACGCGCTTAGCACTCTTAGTTATCTGGACCACTTTGTAAAAAAGTTTGACGACTCTTGCTCTAGTTGCAGGGTATGCCCAATTGCGTTGGACAGCAAAACCAATAGAGAGTATTTTTTGTGTGATTAACTTTTCCTCTGTGGTATGGAATAGATCCTTAATTACTGTAAGAGCAATAGCAGTGACATAGATTAGATAGATGGTGCTTGACGGTTTACCTCGATGTTTTCGTTCTACTGACAGTCTACCACAGGACCAGCCGGACAACTGTTCCACTTGACTGTTTGCTAGTTCACAGTACTTAATATTTTCCAGTGAGTTTATACAGGCTCAGGACTGTCATTGGGACATTCTTCTTTGTTGCATTCCCCTGCTATATCTCAGAGCTGGTTCTTCAACTTGCAGTGCAACTGGTTTTCACATATGTGACAGTTCTTCCACTCAGTGGGGCCCCTTGCCTTCAGGAAGCCACATTGCAATTTTGAAGGTACTTTATAGTTTTTATACTGTATTTTCAGATTTGGTAAGAATTAATTTTGAATTTGCCAAAACAATCCTGCAAGGAACCGTAAAAGGAAAGAGAGAGGAAGGCAGAGAAGGAGATGGGAGGACAACATTACAGAGTGGACAGGAAAGACGATGGGTGACAATCTGAGGAAAGCAGAGGACAAAAATAGATGGCGGGAGCTGATTTTCAGATGCAGTGGTGCCCCCACGGTTGCCCCAACCACGGGATAGAAGAAGAGAGAAGAGAGAAGAGAGAATTTTGCCCAGGTGGCAGGCGAAGCATAGTCTTATCAATTTTTAGACCACCATGGGATCTTTAACGAGTGCAATTTGCACACGGGACCTCTGTGATTTTTCACTCGTATCCGAAAAGGCTAGGTGTTAAATCTTTCCTGCCTAAAGACCAGGGGTGTGGCTAAAAAACAGCCGTAAGGAGGAGCCAGAAGAAGCAATAGACAGTGTCAGGAAAAACGGAAAGTGGAGATGAAAGCAGATGACAGAACATGGCTAGAAAACAGCAAAGGGGGTGAAAGGAGAACATTTTAGAGAAGAACATTTTTCATCATTGTCATGATTCAAACCCGGGACCTACTGAAAGAGAAGCGAACACAGCACCTCTAGACTATAAGGGCCCCCAATTGGGACATGAAAAATGTTTTGTTGGTTGTAGTTTATCTGAGTGGAGGCTTGACCCACCACCCCCAACCCCACCATGTTTTCTTGAAAGAAATGCATCAGGGTATGGGAGTAATAGTTTTAAAATCAACCTGTGCAGGCTTTAACAGTAAGATGCATTATTGCAGTAGACCATGAAAATAATTGTCGGAGTGCACACACAAACACACACACATACACACAGAAAATTTTCCTATTTTTCTTTTACTTACATACAAATGACTTTTGGTTTCCTTGTCCAGTGGTTCAATCACATAAAGTTTTCCAGTCATCTCATCAATACGAAACTTTTTCCAATCATCAGCCTTTGTCGTATTGTCAAGTCTGAATCGAACAGCAGCATTCGTTTCCAACTCTCTATCATCATCCTTTGCAGTAAATTGATACACGAAACTGTCTTTCTTCGCGCACTAAAGAATGATACAAATAGACCTAGTGATTATCGAGAGCTACATGAGACACAATCATGTTAACACAGATCAATTAAAGTCACAATGATGCTCAGTCAGATCAACAGAAGAAACAATAATCGTCACTCACACAGATTAGCAGATGACACAATGACACTCACAATGATTAACAGAAGACACGATGAAGCTCACACAGATAAATCAACAGAAGACACAATGATGCTCTCTCACACAGACCAATAAAAGACACAATGATGCTCTCTCACACAGATCAGTAAAAAACGCAATGATGCTCTCTCACACAGATCAGTAAAAGACACAATGATACTCTCTCACACAGATCAGTAAAAGACACAATGATGCTCTCTCACACAGATCAGTAAAAGACACAAGGATGCTCTCTCACACAAATCTGTAAAAGACACAATGATGCTCTCTCACACAGATAAGTAAAAGACACAATGATGCTCTCTCACACAGATCAGTAAAAGACACAATGATGCTCACACAAATAAATCAACAGAAGACAAAATAATGCTCACACAGATAAATCAACAGAAGACACAATGAAGCTCTCCCTCATACAGATGAACAGAAGACACAATGATGCCCATGTGAGTCAGCTCAAGATACAATGATAGACAGGGCCACAGAAGATACAATGTTGATTAACAGGGCTCAATACTAGAATTACGTATTTCCTACTCAACGGAAAAATGGGATACAAATCGTTATAGTTATATATATGTAGTATACATGAGGAAAATATAATTCACAAGTAAAGTAGCATGGGTGGGTGTGACCAAAGCTGACATCATCTGTCTAAGACTGAGCACATAACCTTTGACTGTTTGTGAAATTTTGGTTAACTTTCATTTTTAAAAATTAAAATACGTTCCCCAACCATTTGAAGTATACAACCCCCATGAAAAATGTAGACAGTAAAGTGATGCAAATTGTCCTGAATTCTGATCCAGAACAAGTTTTTAGTACTACAATAACTGATGGTAAAAGGCATATTGACCATGTCTCCCAGCAAAGGCACATAACAAAGCAGACTGTACTGGCTCAACAATATAATAATAATAATAATAATAATAATAATAATAATAATAATAATAATAATAATAATAATATAGTAATAAAAAATAGCATAATTTGTATACCGCATATTCCCGCTCAACAGCAAACTCTATGCACTTTGCACTATATCATTACCCCCAGCAGACCCCACAACCCTCTCCAGAAAAGTATACAGTGCAAGCAGCTGATTAAGCTCTCAAACACTAACAAACTGACAAGATCTTTCGCTGTCTATAGCTGGGTACTCATTCCCACCTGGGGGAAGTGAGGAAAATTTGTGTAAAGTGCTTTTTCCAAGGACTAAAAGTCGGATATCATTTCAAAGTTCCGTAAGCCTCCCATTGGAACGGAAACAACACACTTTTGGAGCTGCCTGAGGTGTTATTTATGAGTCAGGTTGTGCTTGTACTCTTCATCAAGGTCCTCATCGTTATTGTTGTCTCTATTTCATTTAACTCACTTGAGCTTGAGCTATTTTTCACCCAACAACCATTGCAGCCTGACACTTTTGGCATATAGTGAATCATTAACCAAAAAAAGACTGTGAAAGCTATCATAATTTTTAAAATGCAACAAAAGAAATAAAGAAATGCTCTCACAGAAATAGAAACCTGCATCTGATTTGTCTGAATAGTTTTTGTTTTATCCATACAGTCGAACCTGTGTAAGACGGAATCGCAAGGGAGCGGGGAAAAAATTCTGTCTTAGACAGGGGAATTTAGGGGGGAGGTGGAGGTGGTGTCAAAGGCCCAGCCGGTAGGATCAAGGATCGCTTGTCCGATCGACAAGCAGAGGTCAAAACTTCACACCTCTCAGCTGCTATCCTGTCTGATAGTGACATGCGTCAGTCTTACGTATCCAATTACCACCAGTGCTTGCCTTTCATAGGACCACTGTTTGACCTACTAAAAACAGAAACGTTTGAACATCTCCTTGGCTTCCACCCTTAGTCCCACCCACCAACGCCACCCGTCACTGCCATCAATGTAACAACGATTCGAGGAGCTCTTTTCTCGGCTGGCCGTACGATCAGGGCGGCAGGCATTGGTCAATCTAATTTCACACCTCCGGCTTCTGGTTACCCAGGAAAGTTTCTGTAGTGGCTCGCTACTCGAGCACTCTCGCGGGCAGTCGTGAGATATCACACCCACACTACACTGACCATCTGCATCACTCAGGGCTCACATGATGGGGTAACTTCTACCCCCAATTCACCCCTACTCCCCTTCCTTGCCCAGTGGCATGGCCATGGCGTTAAGTTTAGAGCAGGTGGGACCAAACTTGCGAATTTTGTTTCAAATCAGGGCTGAGCGGGCAAAGCATTTTCCATCTTAAACAGGTGAAACCTAGACGGTCAGAGAGATCGTAGTAAGAACGTATAGGGTGAAACCCTTGGAAGGGAGCGGATTTTTCTTTCCGTTTCCGCGTTGGACAGGTTTCCGTTTTATACAGGTAATTAAAGAGGAATATATAAAGAGGGGAGCGAGGAGATTCCGTTAAGACAGGTTTCCATTTTACACAGGTTTCCGTTAAGGCAGGTTCGACTGTATTTTGAAGTGGCAATGTCTGGGGGTTACACAATTTTTTTTTAGCCCAATTTAAAATAAAATCATCTATCACAATGCGGAGGTGACTGACGAAGTCTGTTACAGCTAAAATAGTATTGCACATAACATCATCAAATTTTTAAAGAAACGAAACAAGTGGGTCAACTGTTGGTTCAATCCTTCCCATAGCTTGTAACAAAAAAACATCGGAGATATCGATTGGTAAAACATTCCATAAATACACGGGATTCAGCCACCGGGCCGATGGCACGTCCTGTAAATATACATGGGAATAGCTCAAGTGAGCTAATACAATAAAGTGTTTGTGTCATGTTATGATTTTGAAAAAAAAAAGGAAATGACATCTGCATTAAACGACAGTAAACATTTGTGGCGAACACTTCCAAACAAAAAGAACTGAACAACCTGTTATGAAAAAAACCACACACACACACACGAGAGAACCCAAAGAAAGGTATGACATTATGTACAACAATAACCAACCTCTGGGATCGAAGGAATGGGGCCATCATTGGTGAACTGAGGGTCAAAGAGATTCTCATCATGTATTGTGATGGTTACATTTGTATTTCCTGACTGGGAAGGGCTACCATGGTCAGTGGCTTTGACAGTGTATCTGTGAAGATTGAATGGAAAAACATTTTATATTTAGTAGTTTTAAGGTGGGTTTTATGGCACTTGCAAGTCAAAAAAAATCATTCATAAGTGTCGAAGATTAGAAGAGTTACTAGACAGTAACATACAAATAAAAGGAGAGATGCAGATGATATACATTCGATAGGAAAGAAAAAGCAAACCACATCAGAGCACCAGCCGATCGCCCATGAAAAAAACTCCCATTTTTAAACTTCTATTTCAGTTTTAGAACAAAACACTGTTAACGATATTGGATGATATAGTATGGGCCTCATACACACTGTTAGGCTATCTAACATACTGCAAGATTATCCAGAAGGCACGACCTCCTAGACCACTCACTTCACTTTATCAAACCAGCAGCCATCTGAGTTCAAGCCCTTCAGCCCGAGTCTCGTAATCTAAAATCCACCTGAGATAGGACCGAACCTAGTGGGTAAGGAGCTTTGAAAACTCCTCTAACAACCTACGCCATAAAAGTCTAAGAGAAGGACCCAAACCATAGCCCAGCCTGCCACCAACAGAGCTATCAGTACCATACAACTGAGATATAGTTCTCAGCTAGTCATTAAAAGGCACTATAGACAAAATAGAATAAGAAACAGAAAAAAGGAGCAGACCGCACCAAACCCTCCTCCAACCATCCAGGAGCACACTGACAATACAATCCATTCAGAAGAAGAAACCATGAAAATGACAGACAGAATGACAAAAGGTACTGCAGGCACGTAGAACCTGCAATTACACCCTGAACTTTTTGGTCTCATAAGAGTTTATCAGCATGCGGGCAGTATTGCATACAGGCGGAAGTCATTTTTGACGGCCTTTGAGATACATCTGTTTGCAATACTGCCCGCAAGCACTGGTAACACAAATAGGTTATATAAGTGTGGAAGATTAGAGGTGATACTAGAAAGTAACACGCAAAGAAAAGAAGGACGAGAGATTAAGACCACAGATGTATGATGAAAGCAAGGAGCAAACCACAGCAAAGTGCTTGCCACCCATCCATCCCCTTTAAACTACCAACAGTAAATGGATCTTGAGTTCAAGAGCAAAAATCTAAATAATATTAATTGCAATGGATTGGGGGGGGGGGGGGAGAAAAAAAAGACAAAGCAAACAAAGATGGATGGACAGAAAAAAAGTTAATATACTGACGAGCAAAAGAAAGTGGGCACCCTACGTTCGGTGCATTATTTCCGTTCTTTACCGTAGTAATGCCGTATTGCCAATGAATTTTGAAAGTTTTGCCATTTTTTCAATAAATGCAGACAAAAAAAAACTAAGAAAAACGATCGAAAGCACACCTTTTATAAGAAATTAATAACACCGATTCAAATGTCCAAAATCCCAGAATTAGTAACGGGTGTAACTCCGACCAGCATTGATGACTAAAGTGCGTCTCCGTTTCATGGATTGCACATGTCGTTGGATAAATTGCTGAGGAATACTATTCCAAGCACCAATTAATTATTGCTGCAGTTGAGGGATTGTTGTTGGGGGTGGCCGAAGGATGCGAATTTCCTTGTTGATCGTGTCCCAGAGGTGCTCAATCACGTTCAAATTTGGGAGTAATACTGGCAACGGTGTTACAACACGTACGTCATTTTTGTTTTAAGAATCTCAGGGTAACAAAGGCACGGTGTGCTGCTGCATTGTCCTGCTGTAACACGAGATTGTTCCTGTGGCGAGCCAGAAACGGCAGAAGGTGTGGATAGAGAACGTTTTTGATGTATCTCTGGGCAGTCAGATTACCGTCGATAATGACTAGATCGAATTTATCAGTACTTGTTATGGATTCCCATACCATAATGCTACGTTTGTCAGCAACAGCACTGACACACTGAGGTAAATAACGTTCATGACGTCTCCGGTAGACTTTCTGCCTTCCATTGTGGCGATTCAAAAGAAATCTGGATTTGTCGGAAAACATCACTCTGTTCCACTGGCGGTTTAGCCATCCCCGGTGCAGATGTGCCCAGTTGAGTCTAGCATTACGGTGTCTTTGGAGGAGACGAGTGCGTCGAGCTGGGTGTCGGGCAATGATTCCGTGGGCTTTCAGGCGTCGACGAACGGTGAAGCGGCTGATTGGTCTATACCCAGGCCAATCTCTGGCAGTTTTAGAAGCTGTTTGAAACCGATCCCACAAGTGTGGAACTCTGATCCGATTGTCTTCAACAGCAGTAGAGACACGAGGACGACCAGACCTTGGAGTGTCACTAATCGAACCACTTGCTTGGAAGTGTATCCTTAGCTTTTGGATAGTATCTCTCGTCACATTGAAAGCTCTAGCGACGGCAGAAACCGTCGCATTGCTCTGAGCATGCCAAGAGCTTCTTGACGTTGCGCATCACTGAGACGAGGCATGGTATAAAATAAAATTGAAAAGTTCAAGCCCAAAATTTTTGACGGCCTTTTCGCTTACACACGTTGAAGTGTGTAACGAAAAAAGAATAAAAGTAAAGGTATTGTAAATTTTCAAGAAAAAACGAGAAAACACGTTTTGGGCCAAGCGTATTAAATTAAAAACACTTTTTATAACAACAAAATAAACAAATGTTGTTCTGACCGACTTTCTAAAGTGATTCAAGCTCAGCATGCCAATCGCCCAGTCAAAATTCGCTAAACTACTTTTACCTCTTACAGCACCGATTTGAAAACTGCCCACTTTCTTTTGCTCGCCAGTATATTTTAATTTTTAACCCCCCCCCCCCTCCAATCTTTTAGTTTTCAACTGCAAAGATGTTATTATAGTTTCTGCCAGGAATACTGCAGGTAACTTAAGAAACCAATTGTTTGATTTGTTATTCAATTGTGAATATGAATGTATCTTTGCTGAGAATCAGTCAAGTATGTATCTATATTAATGTTTGGATGCTTGTGTCTCTCTGTGATTGTGAGTATGTCAGAGGTGGTGTGCATTTACAAGTGTGAGTGTGTGGGG